CTTTAGTTGACTTCTGGGACATTATTGTTGTTGTTAAGTGTCATTGAGTCAGTTCTGACTAACAGCAACTCTGTATAGGCTTCCAGAGGAGCAGCTAGTAGGTTTGAAATGCAAACCTTGTGGTTCTGATCCTACAGTACCACACCAGGAGTCCTTCTCTCCTGGTTTTCCTCATACTTTTCTGTTTCTCTTTCTCTTTCCTTTTCCTTCAATGGCTCTTTCTTCTATTCCTAACATGTAGTATACACTGGGGCTCAGCTCTGGTCTCAGCTGTCTGCTGAAACCTACTGAAATCTGATTTTGTTTGTTTGTGTTTTGAATGTTAGTGGTAATAAAATTCTTAGCCTTGGCATAAAACTTTCAGAAGATTTGCATTTAGTATTCAGCTTTATAGTGTTTAATTTCTTTTCTAGTAGAGGAATTATATAATTTATAAATATGAATTATAATTTATGAAACATAAACATTATAATCCCTTATTTAAAGGAATTTATACCCATTTGGAGATGGAAAAAAATTAATTTATGGTTTGATAAAAAAATAGGGCAATCACTCCTAGCTACTACTTTTATTTGCAGCATATTTGGAATTTTTCTCTTTTCCCTCAGGTTTGCCAAGGGCTATTTAAAGAATTATTAGAAAATGGAATTGCTGTGTGGCCTGGTTATTTGGAAACTGTGCATTCTTCATTGGAACAGCTTTATTCCAAGTAAGAAAACTTGTCTACCTTTTCATTAAAAAATGTGTTTATCCAGAATTATTTTATAAGTAACAGGAAAAAAATCTCTTCCAAATATATTATAAAAACATCACTTTAAATTATTCCTTATTTTGTCTGTTATAGAATTATGTTCCCATAGTTGATTGATATAACAGAGTACAAAGGGTCTTCAGATAGTTTATGGAAAAATGGAATTTAAAGATAATGGAATTTTTTTCCATGGACTTATTCAGCAGGTTTACTTGAGCATGTGCAGTGTGAAACTCTAAGACATAATATCATGAAGTATGTAGTATTCCATTTATCACTTGATTAGGAGTTTGTTGTTATTAAGTGCCATCAAGTCATCCTCAACTCAGTGACCCTGTATAGGGTTTCTAGGGAACAGTTGGTGTGTTTGAACCTCTGACCTTTTGGTTCAAAGTGACCTTGCAGTCCAGTGCTTTCGCCTATAGCGCCACACCAGGATTTCTTATTAGGAGTGAAATTATATATGTTAGATACATGTTTTTGAATCAGGGGAGAGACTGTCCTTGCCAGCATTTGGATTCATTCTGAGACTGTTTGGAATATTATTCCATCACTAATATCTGGTGTTGCGCTGAGGGTTAATGCCCTGGACTGCAAGGTTGCTTGGACCTCAAGGTTATTGGTTCAAACTTACCAGCCGCTCGCTCTTCAGTGCCGGAAGATGATCCTCTCAGGTTGGAAGGCACTCAAAATCTGGTGGGAGAAGAGCTGCCTCCTCATGGTAGTTGACCATAATGATGCAAATGGAATAAAGCTTTCGGGACCTTCATTTGCTGATGGGTCACAACTCAAAATGAGGAGAAACAGCTATAAACATCCATTAATATTGACACATGTAATGTACAGAGTATGAATCTAGGAAAATTGGAAGTTGTCAAAAAATAAATTGGAACACATAAACATCATATTCTAGGCATTAGTGAGCTGAAATGGACAGGTATTAGCCGGTTTTAACCTGATAATCACATGGTTACTATGCTGTGAATTACCAATTGAAGAGGAAAGGCGTAACGTTCAACATCAAAAAGAACATTTCAAGATTTGTCGTGCAGTACAAAGCTGTCTGTGATAGCATAATATCCAGATGCCTACAAGGAAGACCAGTTAATACAACTATTATTCAAATTTATGTACCAACCACTAAAGCCAGTGATGATGGAAAATTGAAAACTTCTACCAACTTCTTCAGTCTGAAATTGATCTAACATGCAATCAAGATGTATTGATTGTTGTTGTTGTTAGGTGCCATTGAGTCGGTACCGACATAGTGACCCTATGCATAGCAGAACGAAACACTGCCTCATCCTGGGCTAACCTCATAGTTGTTGCCATGCTTGAGCCCATTGATGCAGCCACTTCGCCAGTCTGTCTCCTTGGGGTTTTTCTCTCCTCTGACCCTCCACCTTACCAAATATGATCTCCCTATCCAGTGACTGGTCCCTTCTGACAATATGTCCAGACAAAGTCTGGCCATCCTGGCCTCCAGGGAGCACTCTGGCTGCACTTCTTCCAACACAGATCTGTTTGTTTTTTTTGGCAGCCCATGGTACTTTCAGTATTCTCCGCCAACA